GGCAAGATATGAAAGTTTGAGGAGTTAAATGGAAATTTTTCATTGTTGAAACCATAAGTAAAAATACTAAAAAAAATCTCTTAGCTAGGAAAATGCTGATATTATCACAAATAATAACAATAAGAGTGTTATAATTCGTGGAAAGCTTGGAAATAGTGTTTTGAGGCTTATCGATAAAGTTTAAATGATGAGCTGAGAGATCGAGGACTAAAGTGCAATTGAGAAAAATATAGATTTTTATTGGAAAATGTTAAATTTGAGTTAAATAGTATTTTATTTTGGCTTAGAATGAAATTTGGCTAAGTTTAAAGCTCATTAGGACTTTTAAGAAATCATTTTAGACTCAATGAGTAAGAGTTTATACTATCGAATCCAAGGATAATAAGATGAAAGATTGTGTGACCGAGTTTTTTTATAAAAGTTTTCATAGATTTTGATAAACATCGATGAATGTGTGATTGAAAATTAATAAAAATTATAATTTTATGAAATGTGTGATTAAAATTAAACTTTGACACGCAACCAAGATTTATGTAGTTTGGTTTCCATAGTATCCATCTATGTATTGGGATAAAAAGCCGCACAAATGCGCAGTTAATGTAGCGGACACATAAAATTAGAAACGAGCGTGGAGAGAAATACAAATTAAAATTCATTCGGCAAAATGCCGACGGCCACAAGAGAAGGAGAATCAATTAAGTCAATAAACTTCACAATAAAAAAAAAACTGTCCTATTCGATATTTAAACTAAAACACTCAACTTCTCCCTACTTAAAATTTAAGCTAAAACTTGGTTATTTAAGTCTATATGGAGCTTTAAGCTTATCTATGAAAGAAATGGATAAATAATTTATTGATTAAATTCTAAGTCATGTCTTTCCACAGTAAACCACAAAGTGTGCACCCTATTGTATCGTATGAGGATCATTGGCTCTTTCTATTGCATGCTCAATTAATAAAATTTTATTGAATTAAATAAATAAACTATAGATAAATTATTTATTTATTCACCTGTTTAAGTCCCATTTTTTTCTTAAGAATACATTTTGGAATAGTAAATTGATAGAGAATATGCAGTTCAAAAATAAGAAAAAATTTAGGTTTACGTGTAATTTTATTTTATTGAAAAATGTGAAGTTGAAAATAGGAAAGAGAAAAATATATTTAGAAAATAATGGGGATCAAACAAGGACTAATCAACTAACAAATATCTTACAAATAAGAAAATATACTTTTTGGTCATACTAGGGGTGTCAACGAATCGAGACGAGCCGAGTCGAGCCCCAAGCCAAAATTTGAAGCTCGGGCTCGACTCGAGCAAAAATGGTTCAGGCCGTTTTTTGGCTCAAGCCGAGTCGAGCAAAAGTTTGGCCAAAAAATGAAAGTTCGACCTAAGCTTTTGGGTCGGGTTTTAGCGGATCGAGCTGGCTCTACTCATTTTTTTCCTGACAAATCTAAATTTTTTTAAAGAATTTAAAATTAGTGCAATTTATACGGGGCGCGAATTTAAAATATATTGTTTTAATTTTATTTTTTTTATAAAGCTCGGCTTAGGTGGCCTAAATGGCCCATGACACCGACCCACGGGTTGGCTCGAGCTCTAGCCGATGCCCCAAAATGGAGCTCTGCCCGAGCCATGAGCCTACTCGGCCAAGGCTTTTCTCGAGCCGAGCCATGGGTCGCTCGAATTGGCGAGCCATTTTGATATCCCTAGTCATACTACCAACAATGGTCATATTTGATGATGAACCATTTTATGATGATACATGAGTAGGAAAGAATGGAGATATTTAATTAAGAATTTATACGAAGAACTTGAAGATACATTCAAAGAAAAAAAAAATAATATTGCAGTAAAAAATGTCCAAATATAATATAAAGAAACATGTGAGATCGAGGAGGATTAGAGCATCTCCAATAGAATCTTTAAAATTTAAACATGATATGCTCTCTATGTTAAATTGTCAACTCTTAAAATCATGTTTCAAGATATTCTTTAAATTAATATTTTAATTTAGAGAGTGAGTTTGACTCTTCAGATAATTAAATGTATTCAAAGTGTTTTAATTCTCAATGTATGAAAACAATAAAATAATCTAAAGAAAAGTTAGTTAAAATAAAAGATAAAGAAAAATAATAAATATTTTTTGGTAATATTAAAATTAAGTGTTAAATATAAAAAACTTGTTGGAGTACTTCAAAATTTTAACTCGATACTCTTCAAATGATAGAATATGCTCTTTAAAAATAAAGAATCTCTTGGAGATGCTCTTAACTAACTACTATTTTAAGTGGTTCCAAAAAATTCCGATCGAAAGAGCTACTACTACAATTTTTGAGGAGTTCAAGCACCAAGGCAGCACGACTAAAATTACTAGCATATGGGTTTAATCTCAGCTCTAAGCCTTTCTTTCATCGACCTAGTGACTATGCGGATGATGCTTTTGGCTATGTAGATGGAGAGGTCGATGAGATGGGAGATTTTCCAGTTCGAATTGATCGTCTGAAGCTCTCTCTCGATTAGTGAAATTTTTATTATAATGAAGATTCTTACAAGTATATCATAAGACACATGAAAATTCGGCTTGAGACACAATATATCATTTTGAGTAATGCTATTTATCCGCACTGGTGTTGAAAACACAGTTTACGTGACTTTAATGTGGCATTAAATGATAGGTTATTTAATTTCACCTATCATTTAATGCCACATAAACTGTATTTTCATCCCCACTGAGGATGAATAATATTACTCTATCATTTTTTTCCTTCATCGTTCAAACGTTTCGTATTCCTTATCTTTGAGCAGGGTAAATTCCTTCTTGTTTTTCTCTTTGGGTCAGGCATCCTCCTGAGCTTGTTCTCTTTTGTTTGTATTATTAATAAAAAAGTCACAACGTCTTGTTAAAAAAATAAAAAAAAAGTTGTTTGTTTGGTATAAAGTACTAAACAATCAAACGTATAGTTTTCTTGTTTGACAATCCATGAATTTCTCATTAAGTTCCATAGTCCATTCATTGATTGTTCTTTTTCACTTCAAATTCTTCACCAACGTCTTATTCTAATTCGATAAGCATTTCTTACTCGAGTAACTTCGTGGGAAGTTTCTTGACATTTTCCTTCTCACTATAATATTTTCCAAAAGCCAGCTGCCCGAATGTCATTGAGTTTTCAGTCTTCATTTGTATGAATTTTCCTATTTTGAATTTTCCAGTTTCCTGTGTCTGCAGACCAGCGAGATCATAAGAATAATACACACAACATAGTACATATCTTATTTTCTACATATCATATAGTATTTTGCTACTTGTACAACAGATTTGACACCTTGGTGTACAGCCCCCTCACAATATAGGGGATCCATCGCCAATAAAAAAAGTGGGCCCGCCCTATTGTGAGGGGGCTGTACATCAGGGTGTCAACCCGACACCCTGATGTACAAATAGTAAAATCATATCATATATTATACTCAAATAGACATATTTTATGTCTCGATGTCTCAAATTTATAAAACTCGTTTACGTGTTAAAAAAATCTTAAATGAACAAACGGGGGAAGATGAAATTTTAAATAAATAAATGTATTCTTTCTAATAATATAATTTTTATATTCTTTAACAACATTAATTTTTTGGTGAGGGGATTTAGCATAGTTATTCTTTTTTTTTTTTTTCCAAATAATACAAGGTCTCTAGCAAGCCTTTTAATTTTAGAATCTTCAATTTTTGTGTCAACAACTTTCATCTTGTAGGGTAGTTTGGTACTCAAAATCAGGTAAAACTATTTTGAACTGAAAAAGAGAGATGTACGATAAAATTTATCAATCATGACGTTCAATTATACTCCTATAAATGTATAAAATGCAATCAATAAAGCTAAATATCTCACTTTTTATGTGTAAATATGAAGTCTAAGTTTCATACTTGTAGTCCAAATTTGAACATGCAAAGTCTCGTGAAAAAGTGGTACATTTTTCAAAAGTTTATGGATGTAAAGTAAGGATAAGTCGAATAACATCATGCTTTGATGGATGGTGAGGATCCATATTGACTATCTTGAGATCTTTCCTCGTAGTTGGTACAATATTCATAAATTCCTTTTTGAAACATGTTACCTAAACGTGTAGGGGTTTATCAAGATAAGACCAAATTAGAGTTCAACATATTTTTGTTACAATCAACATTCAATTCCCTCTTTGTTTTTTCTTGCCTTTTGCATCTATTTGGTGTGTCTCTTTCAACTTAAATGTGGTCATACGCTAATGACGTGTTCAACAAAGAATTGTCCTTGATGAAAGACTTTAATGTTACAACCCCGCGTTGAAGGTGACAACATTGAAATTGACATTTGAAACTTGAAAGCGATTTAAAATCTGATATAGGCCTTTGGGTTTTTTGGTCACCTTCGCGTAGAAGTGTAAGATGAGACCACTTGGACCGTTAGACAAAAGCGCAATATGTTTGTAAACTTTGACGGGTCACGTCAAGTTGGCCACGCAAGTTCAATAGAGCACAAACCTTAAATTTTGGCACTTGAGTAGGACTTTATGTGTTATTTCTATGAATTGATTTATAGATGAAATGGAAAGGCCATTATGCAACTATCATGCAGTCACGAGAGTCAAACTTGACACGACCCACCCCTTTAATCGAGTTTAGACTGAACCAAACAACGACTAGCTCAACCGCCTTTAGATTATCACACTAACGTTAGTAGAGATAGAATATGCTAATCGTTTCATCTAAAAGTTTAAATGGTTAGACGAGTTAGCTTGATCAAAACAAATTATTTATACATCAAAATAGCCTAAAAGCCAGTATCCACAAATTCACATTGTGTCATAATTCTGAATACAAATCCCATGCAGATAACAAGAAAGTGTGGAGAATATGCCACGAGATTCTACAAATCTTGGCTTAGATATACATCAACAAAGATCACTTTTAAAGAAAAATCAGACCCTTTTTTCACTCGGAGTGCTGAGATAAAAACCCAGAATTTTAGAACCAATCATAAGCGCCGCCGTCACCACCGGAGGATCCATCGGTTATAAGTGATTGGCTGTGACCCATAAAAGACATTATTTGTGTTTGCTGCTCACCCACCACCATATCACCTGTGATAATTAAAGGATGTCAAGCTAAACTCAGTGATTTTTCTTAAAAGTATACTTATTGAATGAATATGTGGTGGAGATTGTTTACAGTAGTAAACATTGTTTGATCAAATGGATGACGAACAGGGGCTTAATTGAATTTTAATCACTCTCGAACATGCTCTAAAATTTAGATATCACTAGAGAATGTTACCTTGAGTTAATAGAGCCGGCTCGTGGACCTCTTCCAAAGAATTCCATCTCGCGTACGCATCTTTAATCAAGTTCGTTATGTAGGGCTGCCAGTATCAATTAAGCTTAGAATACGTGTTCTTGAATGTACACATACGTAAAGGTTAATTGCAAATCGTACCGTGTTCATGGATTTTAAATCAGGAGCGAAGTAAAGTTGACCACCGATTTCCAACTTCACAATTTCACATATAGGATTTAAAATAAGAGTGTAATTATGTCCACAGTGTCTATAGAGTTTAGAGCCCAAGGTACAAGTCTTGGCATGACCCAATGTGACTTCCCACATTTTATCAGACATTCCAACTCCCAGAATCTGTTTGAAAAATAATTAGTTAATTATTAACTGTACTTGAGGATCAAATTAATAAACATTAAAAATTAAAAAAAATGGTTTAATAATCAGTTGTACCTTTCTAAGCTTGGAGGAGTCAATGCTGAACAATTTCAAGAAATCTTGGACTGTTTTTATGCCTTGCGACGAAAGTTTCCGATGAAAAGCTCCGTCTTTCCCTATCTTCTCCAGACGCCACACCTCATCTTCCAACGCCGGAGGATGGTGTTTCTTGTACACTGTTACGTATGAATACATCTCGATTAGAAAATCAATAAATATTATTCTTTCCAGTCTTTGGTAGCAATGATCACGATTTAACATTCTTTATGATCTCTAGTTGGAGATATACAATTCAATTTGTAATACTTTATTTCGACTTTAACGCGTTGAAGATTCTAATAATATATAATTTCCTTAGTGAAGAAAGAAAATTTAATATCAATTGGCTAGGGTTGGTGATTGACGCGTGAATTTGACTCCAATACTAGATTTCAACTAAATTATGGTTTTGCATTTTATATAATAATGATTAAACAAGGCAAGATCAATTAACTATGATTTCATATGAGATTAAAATGGAAAGTTGTATTTTAAATTGAAAAGAAACAATCATCTAATCATTATCAAGGCATTAATCAGATGAAATAGCAAGAACATAAATTATCATGATACTTGGAGGTGTCAAACCGATTGGATCATCGACTAGCCCACCTTTAAATATGTGGGTAGTAGTCTCTCGAGCCAATAAGTTTAGCAGTGCTTAACCCTTCTTAGCTCGACTTACTCAGGATGAGTTTACGAGTTTCGAGGGTAGGTATCCGAGACCATTCTTAAACTGGCTCGACTCGACGTGTTTGACACTAAATCAGATATATCAATCTCAATCTAGGTCAATAAATGAAATAAAAAGGTATATATGGAGAGACTTACATTCACCACGGTGGTCTTTAACAATAAAAGGCTCAGTCATGGCTTCACATATTCTAACATTTTGACTGTTTCCTTGTGCAACAACTCTTGCACCGAGCCTGAATTTTCTACTCCGAATCCAGCTCGAATTATCAGTGAATTCAATTTCTCCAACCGTAACGATCCCATCCCTCATTGTAATATTCAATTCCCCAGTAAGCAAAGGCCTCTTTCCAGCTCTTTCTTTTACAATTTTGTTGTCAAATTCTTCCTTATTCCATGTGAACTCCGGCCTGTCAAAATCCCCGTCAAGAACGACTATTTCGACCTTGATCCAGTGCGGAAGAGACGTCGGGATTTTCATGTCCCCACCTTTCGCGTCGACGAGAAGGATTTGAAGAGGGTTGTTGTTAATATCCACTATTTTTGTGCCCGTGAATATGGGAAGTGAAAGTCCTTTGCTGAAGATGAGTTGAAGACTACTTGTTTGTTCATGATCTGCTGCTTGGATTTTTAGTGATGGAGACCTGGATATTGATCTCATGCAGCTGATTAATCTCACTCCATTTTCCACTTCTTCACTCACCTGAATTTGTTCATAAAGATCAAATATCATTTGTAAGTTTCGTCAAAATATGTTTTTGGTTCCTCAAAAACACCTTGAACTTTTAGAAAAAATTTCATGTTTGTAACATCTTGAAGAACGAAAACTAACGCAGCAGCAAATAACTAGACTATCACATAAGTTTTCCATTACATATTTAAAGAATAGGTGGGTATTTATACCACTCTTCGAAGCATTGGTTCCAAGGCTGAACAGAAATTCTCCAAGAAGTTCACCATAACCACTTCTCTAATTACGCTGTCGACAAGTAATAAACAAAATTAGTTCGTTGTACTTTCCAATATTGGGTACCAAACATGTACTTAATGAAACAAATAGAGTAATTAATAAGACGTACGAAGCTAAAGAAGGTTTAGTTTTCATCCTTTTCTGGTTTGGCTGATCTTCATCTCCATCAAAGAACCGTTTAGCTGCCATTTTATAAAGATTTTCTTTCAGTTTAACAAACCAACTGATAACTGCAGATTTAGAGAGAGAGAGAGAGAGATAAGGTTAAGAAATTATGAGAATGGGATTGAGTATTTAAAGGGGTTTATTGTAAGAGAGACGTAGAGTACAAACAATAAATTGGTAATATTAAAATGGATTAGGAAATTTCGTGGAACAATGTAGGAAAGAACTAGGAAGGACAGGTTCCAAGGTGATTTAAGGTACTCTGATGTAATAACTTTGACGTCAACCCCCTCCCAAGTCAACTGCCTTACAGTCCCCACACGAAATCCCCCAACCATACGCGCACAGTTGCACCAGGCTTGCTCGGGACTCCACGATTTTTAATAGGTTATGCCGGGTTGGCCTCTCGAAAAGAAATATGGTGCGTTTGCCGTGTCAAAATGGGTGAGTTGGATTCAACCGGTCCATTCGCATCCAAACCAAGATTGAAAATGAAATTTAATATTCTAATTGACATGTTTGTGAATTAAACTGATAAAATTACACAGTTAAAAATAAAAAGTCACTTTTTAATTGTTTCAAGATGATTATTTAATCAAGTTCAATCACCCAATATTTTGAATACTACAATAAATAACTAAAGCAGTAAAAAACACTAAGGATGATTATGGAGAAACCTGAACTAGGTAAAAATTTCGGACACTTTTTCAGACTATAAATCGAAGCAAACTTACAGTATAGTCCGGACCTTGTCTACCCTATAGAACTTCTGATTTCAATTCCTACAGTTTCCCTTTATCCTATTGGAGGTGTACTCCTTCAAAACAAATCATGACTCTTAGTTTATAGCTTAACCCTCCTAGACTGAATGCTCCTTAGTCCAAATCCCGACTCGTGGTATCTCACCTTAATCCTTCTGAATTTGTGCTTCTGAAATAGCTTCCGATCCCTAGTATCGATTTATCTCTGATGGATAGGTGGTTTGGTGTTTGATCAAAAGATCTAGTGTGTTTTGATCTATGGTTTAATGTGAAATAATATGGTTTGATCAATAAATCAAAGTTTGAATGAATTTATGACTCAAATAGTATTGTGGTTTAATCTTGGAATCAAATAATGTGTTTTGTATCTTAAAAGGAATGATCTTTATGAAAAAAATATGATTCAACACACTTTTGAACGTTCATATGGTAGATATATATAGGGGAAATTATTTGGGATGAAAAATGATTGAAAAACCAAGTGTTTGAAGCAAAACAAAAGCCTGGACGTCGACACTTCCTCAAGCGCCAAGCCAGTGAAAGCTGAGCAATTGTCAGTATTTTTATCATAACTTTCTCTCCTGATATCCGATTGAGTTGATTCAAAATGAGTTAGAAAGCTAACTCTATAATTCTTTTAGAAATATGCTTGTCCAAACTGAAATTGAAAAATAATGAAGTTAATCTCTAAAGTATAAAGTGGTCAATCTCTTCCTAACTAATGAAGTCAAACAAAGCACATCATGAACATGCTCAATAAGTTTGAAGTGGAAGAGTTGAAATTAATGAACGCTCCAATATGTTTATCAATCAAACTAAATGATCAATGTACTTTCATAAACATAACAATATCGAGGTATGATCGGATATCTCTTTTATTTAATTGTAGGTTGACTCGATATTATGTTTAGTGTGTGATTATGTACTATATTTCAACCCAATACTCAAGAATCACACTTTAGTGCCATAAAACGAATTTTAGATATCTTACTGGCATTAAGATATTACATCTATGGTACTCTAAAGGCACTCGAAAATGAGATATTGTGTTAGAATTTGTGAATAAGGAAAATCAATTGGTCGATATTCTCATTAAACCTCTAACACTGGATAGATTTTCCTATATTCAAAGAGGTTTGAGAATTATCGATGAATTTGAAGTA